ATATTTATATATATTTATATATTATTTCATCCAAGATTAATCAAAGGATCAAGTTCATCTATCAAAATAATAAACAATGCCCACAAATCCCAGGTACAGTTTCTTATATATGTGCTCAAAGTATTCTTAATAAACAAAATATACTATGTATGAAATATTTTTTTCCCTTTTTTTCATTCACACCCTGAGGGTTTACAACTTTTTAAACTATTAGGCGCCATAGTCCTGTAATCATCGTCTATTAATTAGTTGATTTTGATTTTTGCTTTTTCTCCTGAATTTTGCAATTTTTGGCCCCTAATAAACCTGAAACTTTAAATATTATTGCAAATTCAATTTTGTTATTTTCGTCATTATATTTTTATTTTCTTTTTTCTTTTTATAATATTTGCATGTGGGTATTAATTGCATGCAAGTTTGCAGTTAGCAAATTTTTGGTATATATTACGTGTAAAAAAAATAATAAAATATTATCAATTTTATAGGCTAGTTTAAAATTAATGTATGTTAATTAGTTAATAATAATTAATACTTTGGGTAATAATAATCAAACACAAAATTCGGTTAAGTTAACGAAAAATATATTCGTCCAAACCAATTCCTTTATTTAGGTAAAATAACTATCAGCTAATAAAAATCTTAAACAATAGGGAATTAATTTTTATTATTTATGAATCAATTTTATTTTAATAATTCATACTTTTTATTTTTATATTTTTTTGTATTGCGGTTACTACTTTTTATAACTTTTACAATTAAAAAACTATTATTTTACTATATTATTAATAATTCATTTAATATTACTTCTATTATCATTTATTACTAATATTATATACTAAAACAATTATTTACACAAGTAACTGAACTTTTGGCGGGAAGATTATAATTAATCTTGATAGCTGATTTATTATTTTAAAAATATATACAAAACAAAGAAAATAGACTAGGGAAAGTGTATTGTTTCTTTGTGTTCATTTCGGTCAAAAAATTCCTATAGAAAAGTACTTGAGGCTCATGCAGTCTGTTGTTTTCGAATTTTTGGAATAACAATTAACAAGAAACCCACCTTATTTATTTAAGCATTTGACCAAAAAAAAGTGTGTAAAGATATCATTAATACTTGGAATTCATCTTGATTATTAATAGGAATATATGTCTTTTTTCAGCAACCTTTCTACTAGTGGAGGGCAAGGACTTGGGTTTGGAGGATCTTCAACCAACTTCAATTTTGGCACCCCCTCTACAAATACCAATTTGTTTGACAATAAGTCATCTCTGTTTCCAACCCAATCTACATTGAATAATTCAAATAATGCTTTATCTAGTAGTTTTCTAAATTCTGGTTCAACTAGCACCAATTTATTTGGTACTTCAAATTCAAACCAAAATCAAGGAACGGGATTAAATTTTGGGGTAAACTCATTTTCAATGAGTAGCACACAACTTGGTGGCCAAAACCAATCAGTTACTTCAAATATGATGAATTTGCCACACCAGCAAAGACAAGAACTTGAAAGAATAGAGAAGCGAAAGTCATCCTTACAAAAAGGGCTCTCATTACAAATGAATCCAAGCATGACTGCATTAACTTACCAATTGGATGAGAAGGCTCCAGAAAAGCAGCAAGAAGTAGATAATTATATATATTACAACTTGAATGACGAAGGAATTATTAAAAGTTTGAATGATGCAAAAAAACTGAATCCAAATCCAAGTAAATGCTATACCCTCCCAATAAAAGGATTCGGAGAATTAGTACAGAGAGAACAACAACAAAGAAAAGAACTGGAAAATCTGCTGTGTGAGATGAAATCTGTAAAGGATGAAAACGTTAAAATTCTTCAGACGTTAAATACCAGTACAATTAAAAGAGTTGAAGAGTGCAAAAAAAGGCATCAAAGTATTATTCATCAACTGGTTCATATTTCATGCATGATTGAAGAATACGGTGAGAAAAACCACCTTGCTCAAGTTAATTATCAATTAGATAATCAACTGAATCAGGTTATGTATCAAATACAAGAAAATCATATGAGACTTGGAGCCTGGCAGTCTTCAATTAATCAAATTGAAACAAATATTAAGTACATTGATGAACAATTGAATGAGAGTGATTCAAAAAATTGTAATGACCTTAAAAATCTTCTTGAAAGTTCTCCTAATAAATCTACTAATAATGCTTTTTCTGAACACTTTAGCCCTTCTGATCAAAAAGGCTCTGAAAACAATAATTCAATTTCTGAATTAAATAGATTACAGCCAACCCAACAATTATCCTCATTAAACGGAACATATTCTGACGTTTCTAAGAACTCCAGAGAAGTCTCTATTAGCTCTCCAAGTAATGTGGAGGCCATTTTCGAGACTCTAGATAGTCAGCAACAATTATTAGAGTCACTTAGTGATACCGTCAGAAATGATTCACTTTTAATTCAACAATTTATCTCCAAAGTTTAATTAGAATTATATCTGTTATACAAACACCCATATAGGAATACCATAATTATATATCTATCTATACATTAATTATTTAATTTTGTTAACTCTCGAACTCATTTCGCTTACAAATAATTCACTAAACCTTACTAGTTTTAAAACACTTCGTCTATTAAAGAAAACACGATAATTAAATATAAAAATTTAATCTGACTACCTATTAATAATACTAATATTATTATTCGAGATATTACACTTTAAACTCCAAGAAATAAGAAAAAAGATGAGATCTAAATGCTTATGCCTTGTATGCTCTGGAGGCTCTTCTACCTCTTGCCTTCTCAAACTTGCGTCCCTTTGATTGTACGCGAGGTCTTGATGTGCTCTTTGGCAAACCTGGAGCTCTACCAAAGTATTTCTCCTGAATTCTAGCCTTTGTCTTTCCTCTGAGTAAGACAACATTAGAACCCTTTGGAGCCCTTAAAGCTAATTGATCAAAAGTCAAGCACTCTCCTCCGTACTTTTCAATGTGCTTTCTGGCAGTCTCAGTGAATCTTAAAGCACAAACTGTCAACTTTGGGATCTTCAAGACTCTAGTGTCATCAGTAACGGTACCAACTACTGCTGCGATCTTGCCCTCTTTTCCGTTCATGAAACTGACAAGACGAGAAACAGAGATAGGTGCCTGGAATCTTCTAGCCATCTTTAAACGATGGAGAACAGTGCTGTTAAAAGAAGAGTTTGTTCTACGATCCAAGAATGTATAGAGTTTTGACAACAATATACGATATGGGTTTGTTGAACGAGTTCTCTTAGATTGAGTCTTCTTGACACGACCACCTGCCTTTAAATCAATACCCATGTTTAATTCCTAGCAACAAAGAAAATCTTTACTCAAACTTAGTTGAAAAATAAAATCCAGTTTCCTTATAGAAACTCTTTTCTTTTTACTTTAAAGAAATTTACTACTCCCACGCTTTGCTTAATTATTTTTTTTTTTGCCTTTTTGTCTCCATTATTTATTTACTATTATTAGAGACGCCAACTATTTGGCCAGTGGCGCGTTTTGTGGCGCCAAAATGGGCATTGTGGTTGGCCTGCAACGGTATTGAAAGAAAAACAAGTGAATAAAGGCGCGTAATTATTAATATTGTAATTAAACAGGAAAAATGCTTTAAATGTATAGTTTATTCGTTATTTTCTATTATAATGTTTTTTTAATTAATATAACAGAAACTATTTTTGGGTGCCCTATATATTAGAACAATTTACGGGAAATTTATAGAGTGAGATTCTTTTAAATTTTCGATTGCTATATAAAGAAATGTCTTGATATTACTACTTTTGTAAAGCTGCGGATATTCTCCTCTCTAACTTTTTAGCAATAACTTGCATCTGCTGATCCAAAAACTGTTTCCAAGCAATTGCCTCCTCTTGCTTATTGTGAGAAGAGGCTGAAAACTCTGTGTCCCACTGCTTCATCCCCTTTTTCCACTGTCTTAAACTGTGGAGTTCATGCTCCAGTAACTTTCTAGTAATGTCCTTGTTTGTTGCAACAGAACTGCCTGCAATGGACCCACTGTTTGGACGCAAACTCTGAAGAATAGATGCTATTTTGGATGCTTGAGCGTTTAGCTGGCTATGCTCATGAATGCTATTTCCCATAACTGAAGACGAAATTGATGGGTAATGCAAGCTAGTGTTGTTCATGAGTGAGCCAGGTGCAGGGGGGTTAATACTGGAAGAAGCTGGAAGAGTGTTGCTGTTCAAATTGGTACCATAGCAATTTGATATGCAGTAGTCCAAGTTATTCCCATATATCTGAGAAGAGTTTGCGTTTGTCACCCCACTGTTATTAGTTGGTTGAATAAAACTTATCCCAGCTACACTACTGCTTCTTTCTCCTACTTTTGAATCACTTCCAACAAACTTTTCGTCTGTCTGTGTTGTTCTGTTTATATTTAACTCGTTACTCTTTTTTAATTCATTCAACTCGTTTTTAATATCTGTAAGTAGTGGCATCAAAACCATGGGTGACTCTGGATACATTATCGGCGAATTATTTGTCAATGTTGGGAGAATCTGCTGGCTTGAAGATTCACTCGTTAATGTGTGGGTACGTTTTAAGAGCGTTGGTGCTTTTATATCCTGAGATTTTGGGGCTTCTAGAGTTGCTTGAATTTCACTGGGATATCCTGAAGGAGCTGAAGAGTCACAGTTGTTTCCTGCAATATCAGACTCTCCTATGTTCTTAATTAATGGAGAAACAGAGCACGCTCTCATTCTGGAATTTCTGCTCTTTTCTGTGAACTGCCTTAGCTCCTTTAATAGATTCTTTTCCCGGCTTTCAGTGGCCCGGAGCTTCTCATAAAGTTTCTTCATTGTCTTTTCCAAAGAACTGATAACATCGCTGTTCCTTTTAGATACTTCTGAAATTTCCGTCTCCTTTTCATTTTCGTTTCCTGTAGTCAAAGAGTCCCTATTTGTTTCTTCCCCACTAACACCATGTAGCTGGCCGTTTCTAGTACTCTGTCTCAAATCCCTAATATCATTTGATCCGGTTCCATCGGATGAGCCATACCCAAGAGAGTTCCCAATATTGTTGATCTGTTTATGGAGATGCAAAATAGTATAAAGCAGCTCCTCTTTTTGTTTCATCTCCTCCTGGATTTGTTGCTGGAGAACCTGGCAAGTTTTCTGAGTCTCCCTTTCAATATCTCGATTCCTCATCTCTAAGTCTTCAATCATTCTACGCAATTCACAAATCTCCTTATCTTTATTTGAGGAATTCATTCCCTCGTATAACTCCTTCTCTCGGCTCTTAATTACGCCTTCCATTTCTTGTAAAAGGTCCTCACTTCTTTGAATAGCCAATTCTCGCTCAAAAAGCTGCTTGTCTCTCTCCTCAATCCTAATTAACTCATCTAGAAGAGGTTTTTTCTCCAATTGTAGTTGTCTCTCTCTTCCCTCCAAATCTCTTTCACGATCTTTCAGCTCTTGGTCTTTCTCCTTCAAATCTGTTTCCCTGCGATCAATAGAACATTCTTTCTCAATTAATAAAGCTTCTCGCCTACTTAAAGCAGATTCTTTAGTTCTGTTTGTGTTCTCCCTTTCCTCCACCTTAACCTCCCTTGCAAGAAGACTTTCCTCAACTATCTTAGTTCTTTGTCCTAAACTATTCATTTCTCTCTCAAAATCATTCAAGTTCATCTCTCTTTCTAACAAACCCTTCTCCTTTTCCATCAGCTTGTTCTCACGATCGATCAACTTATTCTCTTTTTCAACCAACCTACTTTCACGGTCTATGAACTTTCCTTCCTTATCCTTAAGTCTGCTTTCCTTTTCATACAATTGCCCTTCTCTCTCTTCAAGAGACCTTCTTTCAGACTCACTCAAAGCAGCTCTCTGATTATTCAGCAGGACTTCTCTGTTATCGAGCTCCCTCTCCCTAGTTGAAATATTCTTTTGACGTTTATCCAACTCAAACCAAAACTCCTCAAATTCTTTTTGACGGCTCTCAAGCTCATTAATATAAACATCAAATTCCTTTTGCTTATTTTCCAAATCTACCTTCTGAGAGTTGAGTGAACACTCCAAGTCTTTCACTGACTTTTCTCTTTCCTCAAGCTCCCTTAGACGGGATTCTTGATAAGCCACCTGAGTCTTCCTTAAATCCTGACTTTCTCTTTCCTCCTTTAATGCCTTCCTGCTATCATCTAATTCCCTCCTGATTTCTACCAGCTCTCTTTCCAAGCTTCTAAGCTGTGTTTCATATTGCATACTCATCTTCTGTAAATTGTCATTCTTTGCATGTTCCAACTTTACATAAAATTGGTGTTCATCCTCCTCCATCTGTTTTGATTTTGTCATCAACGCTTTTTCCAAACTCACAAGTTCGTCCTTTAGTGAGTCGAGCGATTTTTGTTTTTCATTAAGTTCTAATTTTTGGGATCGGAATTCAATTCCTTGTCTATCCAACTCATTTTTTTGAGATTCAAGTTCAGCTTTGAGCTTCTTCGTTTCAGTCTTTCCAGCTTCAAGTTCTTTTAACTTTTGTTCCAATTCACTCTTAATTTGTTCTACACTTCTCTTCTCAGCTTCAATCTCGCTACGGTTTTTCTCGAATTCCTTCTTCAGTCTCTCGTATTCGGCTTTGCCATTCTCCAACTCTAATTTTGCATTTTCAATCTCAGTTAGCTTCTTATTGTAATCTGAAGTGTGTTCAAATTGAACCTTTTCCATGTTTATAGAATAATCTTCAACCATTCTGTTGAAACTTTGTTCTCTCAAATTTAGATCGTCAACATAAGATTCGAATTCCTTCTGCTTTTCCAATATTTCCTTCTCCAAGTTAGATATGGACAAGGATCTTTGGTCGAGCTCTTTAGTTTTGTCGTCGAGACTACGTTCTTGAAGCCTAAGCTTTTCTTCTAAATGAGACAGAGAAGCTTCTTTTCCAACCAAATATCCTTCTTTAGATACAACTGAGATTTCTCTCTCATGTAATTCTATTTCTTTCTCATTAGTAACTCCAGCAGTAGACTCCAAGTCATTGAACTTGTTTTTCCATGATTCAATTTCGTTACTTTTAATTTGGACGGTGTTAATGAGTTCCTCCAAGGAAGAGTATTTATTTGATTTTAAAGTTTCTCTCATTTCAGCCAAGTTTGTATTTACCCTATTATACTGCTCTAAAAGTGACTCATGCTCAATTTTTTCTATATCCAACTTTTCACTTAAATCTTGTATCTTTTCATCGTATTCTTTCCTAACATTTTTTAGATCATTAATATCCAGTTCTCTAGCTTGTTTTAGAGAGTTGACTTCGTTAATTAATTTTTGGTTATTAGATTTGTACTCTGAAATCATGTCTTTATAACCATCCAATTCGTTTTCTAATTGTGTTTTTTTTAGTTCTAGCTCTTCTGCTCGTTTATCATTCTGTATAGAGTTTTCTAATTCGTCTATCCTACTTAATGCATCCTTATATAATTTCCAATAATTATCGGCTTCTTCAGAATTTACTGTATTGTTATTATCATTTTGCTCAGAAATTAGTTGCTCAAGCCTCTCCAACTCCTGCATAAGTTGGTTATTCCTTTCTTTCTCCAAATTCAATTCAGTTTCAAACCTTCTACTCTGAGACTCTGCTATTGATAATTCATCTCTACTTTTGTGATATAACGAGCGCTCATTCTCTACTTGGCGTTGTAAATCTTCCATGGCATTTCTAATTAATACCATGAACCTAGCACTGTCAGGGTCATTTTCATCCAATATCCCCTGTGAAAACCTCACATCTGCCACATCATTGACAGTCTTCACACCTTCATATTCCATCTCGTTTAAATCCGGATTAATAGGCATAGAATGTTGTTGCTATTTAATACTTGTTCATCCGAAACAGACTCCTTGCCTTTTTATTCGACTTAACAAAAAGTTGGGTGAGATAAGGATTTTACAACCCTTCAGGTTTAAAAAATTATTGTCTTCAATGCTTCCTCTTCACCCTATTTTTATATTTAAATATATTTTCCCTCTTGCTCCTTTTATTTTTTATTAACTCATTACCCCACACTATATGTCTATATTGGAGTTCAAATCAGTTTAGCGCCAAATATTACATGCATATTTTGCCCGCCTTTAGTTCAGGCAATTTTGCATATTATAAATGAAAAATTAGAATGTTATTTCAGTAAATATACCAGGAATTTTTAAAAAAGATGTTTTATGCGAAAGCAAAATAAAATTTCTCTTCAAATAGCTCCTACATATCAAATTACACTTTAAATAATAGAGAGTTCGTTGACTTTGATGAAAATAAATGAGTATCTATGCTTCAATCACGATGCAAAAACTGTATGTATCAGAATCAAACTACTTTTGGAAGAAAAAAGAGGTTATTTTAATTCGGTAAGTAACCCCCACAAAAAACACATGAGACTCACATATAGTAAAAAGGAGAAATCACAGGTACCGTTAAATTAATTTGCATGAAAATTTTAGGTATCGAAATTAATGTGGGATCAAATTAAAAATATAATTAATGAGTGAGAAAAAGTCAGATCTTCATTGTTCAACTGAATGCACAGCCCATAAAGGCTAGAAAACGAGTAGTATTAAATCCATCATGATATCTAACATCAATGAAAAAGGTTTGTCAAGTTAGACGTTACGTCTTGTAGAGTATTGCACCTATACAGGACGTTACGATGACGTCGTCCCAAGGAGACAGAGACAAAACAAGATGCAGCTTCCTGATGTAAGAATCTTTCCAGCTCCGCTAACCTTCTAAGAGCGAATTCTTGAATCACAATCTTGATTTCTCCTTAAAAAAACTACATCTGGCTAGTTCTTAATAAAATTATAATTGGTTGGCTATTTTTATGTTTAGCGCTTCATTTTTACAAGATTTTGTGTTGCGCTATCATTTTATGATCCGAATTCATGCTCTTTAATAATGCTTAGTCTAGATATTTCCTTTGAGTACATCCTATTAATTCGGCAGCTAATTTAATTTTGAAGTCTATCCATACCGAAAACTATGAGTAAATGTATACGGTGTTGATCAATTTGTATTCATGGCAATTCAAACGAAGTTATGAACGAAAAGGAAATATTTTATAATTGTTACGAGGCTATTAACAGGTTCAGAACATCTTACTAGTTGTCGTCTATAAAAATTTGCGAGAACATAAGATAAGTATGAATTTAAAAATTATCTAAGGCTTGAAATCTGCAGTTGGCGCAAAATGTTTATATTTGTTTGCAACCAATATCTCTCTTCAATAAATTATGAGGATTTGGGATGAAGGAAACAATATGACAATTTAGTTACAAGAAGATTCACCAATCACCTCCCCACTATATTTTCGATTTAATACTAAACACGTCTTTTCATTCATCCAACCCAACTTTCTTCTGTTACTATCCTTACATAACAATCCACATGGTTACCGCCAACAATGTTCCGATATTTCCTATAGTGCAAACTTCCACATACCGCATGGCGGCACATTAGTGCTACGTACTGTCGCCATAGGCGCGCCGGCGGTTGTATTAATATTAGAATTAATTGAATTAGCAAGGGAATCTTAATAATATTTTGAAAATAAAATCAAAGTAGAATAGGAAGTGTTTGTGGGCAAGGTAAGGATATTGCAACTGGAATATATATATTTTTTGGAGAGTGATCAAATTCTGAGCATTCCCCCGTCTGTGCATTTGAACAGCATAGAGTATATTTTTGTGAAAACAAACACATCAAGCTGCTAAGGTGAAAATTAATTGGTGATATAATAGGAAAAAGTAATCTATTCAGTTATACTCAATCTATTTATAAATTAGTTCTTTTCTATACCGGTTTCTAAACGAGTTCCTGGTCTTATTTTTAAACAGACTTTCACATACCATTAATAAATCAATTCGATGATTTAAGCTTGACGTAACTATCTGTGGTAATAAGTGTAATATATGTTTTAATTAACCCAATCAGTTGGGCTTTCTGTTTTAAACTTTAAATATAGTCCTTGTTTGAGAGATCAGACGAGGATAAGAAGATTTATATTACTATAATGAATGGTGGTAACAGTATCCTACCAACGATGTCAGCTTATGGAAGGGAAATGGACCACCACCACTATAATGGGGTTCCTTCATCAGGGAATTCTAATATGTTGACAGGCTACCCTATTTTATACCAGAACAATCACCATAATCACCCAGCAGGAGACCTTCTTACACTGCAAATGCAACTTCAAGGGAACCCATCTAATAATGAAAATGAAAACACTCTAGCAGCCTTACAGAGAAACTGGATTGCTTTGCAACAGAATAATGGTAATGTTGGAGGAACAGGAACTGGTGCCAATAACGGTATGTTGCATTCATCTATTCACCACCCCTCTGCAATGACATTACCAAACGATGATATGGGCTACATGAGGAATCTGATCCCGATTGGTGGAAATAATTCATCTCCACTCCACTCAAACCAGTCTACTCTTTTGGATTCTTTAAAATTTGGAGGTGGTTTGGAGCCTCCACAAGTTTCTCAATATGGGCATCATCATCACTTGTCAAATGGAAGTTTACAACCAAGTATCTTGGATAATGGAATATTGGGGAATAATGTAGGAATTCCAGGAATGGGTCGTAACAACCAAATGAATGTAGGAGCTTCTCCGAACGGTAGATTACAAATGCCTATGAATCCAAATAATGGTTTGGGTGTAAATGTAGATATGGTTTCAAATAATGGAATGATCCCAATGAATTGTAATAACCCTATTTCCGGAAATGTAATCGTGAATACAAATACAAATAACAACATTGAGTGGCAAGGAGGTATACCGATTCGTAACATTCCTGACTTAATGACTATGTTGGATTTATCAGATATACCGCCGCATGTCCAAATTCCAAAATATTATGAGGGCATTAAAATATCTCTGGGAGAAGCAGGACGTGAAATTCTCAGGTGTTATATTAATCAAAGAGGTATTAGAGGAAAGTTTATGAGCTCTAGCAATCTTCAACAGTTATTAAGAGTTGCACATCAATGTGGACTATGGAACGCAGCAGTGAGGTTGCATTTAGAGTTTATTGGAGAGATTCCTATGACAGCCAGTCATGCTGAAATGAGAAAGTATAAGAGTCTTCAGACAAAGCGCAGGTTATCAAAAAGGATCTCAGTTTTGTCTAAATTTGGAGCTCCTGTCGTTCGTAGAGCTGATGGAGAGGAGACTATAGAGTATAGAGATGGGATGAAGCTTTCTCTTGGAGTTGATGGTAGAAAGCTGTTATTAAAGCGTATTAGAGAGACCAGAAGTTCAAGAGAAAATGAAATAAACAATTTGTTTTCCAAGTACGGCCTAAAATATAGTCAACTCAGAAATGCAACTATTCACGAGTTATGTAGGATGGCTTATGTCTGTGGTCTCTGGGAAGAAGCTGTTAAGCTTCATTTTCAACATATAAGAAAGAAAGCTCATGAAAGTACTTCAAACCAGCAGGAGTCTGGAAGTGATCTTGATAGTGAAATGGATTTGAATAAGGACAGAGGAGACGATGAAATGATATCCAATAACTTTTTACAACAGCTTCACAATCCCAATATTGATATGTTAAATGTAAATGGTCCAGGTAATCCTGGTGGTTTAACGGGAGGTAGTACAGGCGGAATTTCCCAGAATCCGGTTATGGGAACTATGGGTACTGATCCTGTTCATGTTGGTGGAAGTTCTGCTACACAAAGTGCAGCTCATCATGTGCATCAACACCCTTCGATTCATCCAGTCTCACATATTCCAACAGGTTTGGGTCGCTTTGGAATGTCATCTGTTGGTGGGTCCGTTGCTAACAGTAGTGGAAACAAGTCTGGTGGTGATGGTGGGAATACAAGCTCGAATGTTAATACTAATGGAGGTTTATCTGGTGCAAATTCAATGATTGGAATTGTAGATAATGGTGGTGGTATCCACCCATCAATGGTAATTCCGAATAATGGAGGAACGACTGTGAATAATACTGGAGCTCATACAATCCCAGGTGATCATCTGAACTATGATGATTATAGAAATTATATTTTGGATGGAGGAAGCAATACTGGAAATATTGATAATACTGGTTTGTCATCGATGAGAAATGGCACTATGGAAAACCTAAGTAGTCGTATCATTAGACATGATACAAGGGGGAATAATATGGGAGCTTCTTCAAATAGTATTAACAAAGTATTGGGTAGTAGTCCTAATACTGTAAATAATGGGGCAGTAAGTAATAATGGTGGAGGAAATAATGTTAAAAATGTTGGTGGTAATAATCCAGATGTAAATGATTTGAATGGGAATAGTATCTTAACTGGGATCGAAAATGATGGTCTAATTGGAATGTCGACAGGTGCATTGGGAGCTTTTGTTGGTTCAAGTTCTTCAGGAGCAAGAAATGGCCTTTCAAATTATGACGGTATTGGTGTTCCAAGTACAGGAGGTACAGGATATGATGATTATTCATTATTATCGGCATCATTGAGAAAGAGAGGAAAGGTTAGTAATACTCATATGGTTTCAGGTCTTGGAGCTGTAGATGACTCTAATTCGAATGATTTATCAACTCCTAGTATTGTCTCACATCCTAATACATCATCATTTGTTATGGAGACAATATCAGGTATTTTAGGAGACGAACCCTTAGGAAACAATAATATGAGCGATAAAATGAATAATTACAAAGGTAACAATTTATCTTCAGTCTTGGGAAACGATATTGGGATTTGCCAAAAAAATGAAGTTCCTCAATTATCAGCAGTTGTTGTGTTGGCAGCAGCAAAGGCTGCAGAAGCAGCACAAGGATACGATAATAATGATAAAGAAGCTTTTAAAGAGAGTGAGAATACGTTAAATCAAGGTTTAGAAGTTGATTCAATGTTGAAAGGTCGCAAATCGGCATCTAATTCTCCAGTGTTATCATTAGACGGAGATAAAAACGAATTATCATCGGTTACTGTTTCACAGCCATTGGAAAATAATCAAGGAATTAATCAAGATTTATCAGCAGCCACAGAGGGCGAAGGAATTACAAGTTATCAGAAAGATTACTCTAATAATTGTAATATTAAAAATAATAATGGTAATAGAATTGAAGTACCTTTAGAGTCTAATATGTTATTAAGTGGTCACCAAAATGACCATTTATTGTTGGATACAGTTAATACTAAGATTATGCCGTCTGAAATTTGTATGGATGGAAAGTACGAGTTAATAGGAAATGGTATAACTATTAGTCACACAAACAATAATGATACTGATATTCCAACTGAAGGTGTGGGAGGTGGTGTTGTTTCTACTTCCTCTGCCGCAGTATCATCTACATCCTTGGAGGCATCTGACCCATTTTGTTTTCCTCCCCCAATAGCTCTACCTTCTACAACGGGTCATATAGAAAAGAATGATACTACCAGTGAAAATGAAAATAATATTATCAATAATAATATTGATAATAGTAGCAATATTGGCAATAACAACAGTAACCCAGAAAATGGTGTTTCATTGGTTTCTAGGGGTCTTACAACACAATCAACAACTGATACTAGTATAGAAACACCTGGAAATTAATAAAGCAATAATAATTAATAATTATATTTGAATTTATTGATAATTAGTTTATTTAATTAATATAATACTTGTTTTTCAGAGAATCATGGACCTTAAATTTGACTCAAACGTTGAGCGAAGGAGAATGATCGAGTACAATTATAGGAATGAATTATAATACAGTAATGATTAGATGATTATAGTAAATATATATTTATATAATTTTTTTTACTTAAGCAAATTTTAAATGTTAATAAAAAAATACTAGAGACATAATTAAAGAAGGTGGGAGTGACGAATAGTATTAAACAAGATAAACGTTGGTAAATACGATAGATTTTAAAAAAACAAAGAAATAAGTACTTTGTTTAATTTTTCTCTTATTTAATTAATATTTCTCTTTTATTTCTTTATTTACTCAATATGATCTCTTTTGATGTATTTTAACTCTTTTAATGTGGATAGCTTTTTTGTATTAGTACCGGTTTTTATATGCAAATTTTCACAATTTGCATGCATTTACACATAATACATGCAAGGTTTGCATAAGGAAAAACAAGCGCAGAAAAATTAATATTTAAGGTATTAAAATATGATATGATGAATTAATAATATAAGATTCTCGCCATCGAGCACTGATGCATAAAAAAAAAGGAAATGAGACTAAAATACTAATCAGGATAAAAAAATTGGATAAAATATTTATGCAAGAAACACTCAACTTTGCAGAAAAGCTGAGACCACATTTGAAAAAATGTGTGTCTTTGTTTCTATTAACAATATTGGTATTGAATGGTAAGTTAAGAAATGAAGGAGGGAATTTTTGGTTGCCAAAGAATATATTAAAAATTAAGACAAATCTTCCTAAAAATTGAGAAAACTATTATTAATTTACTTCAAACTGAAATTAACTCAAATTTAAATTAGAACCAATTAATTCAGAAAATGTCCCACAATTAAGAAGATTAGGATCTCATCATTTTCATCACACACATCACCATACACCTGTACAGGTCCAAGGAAGTATTGTAAGAACGCCAACTGCCCAGGGAATAGCAAGAGAGCTTCCTGTCCCAACACCACTATATTCCCAAGTTCCAGAAGTACGTGGATCTGAGGAAACTGTAACATCAATACAAGAAACAGTTGTTGAGACTGGTAATCCAAAATATTCAAAAAGAGACGTGATAGTCACCAGAGATCCATTTTATACATGTCCAATGGGATTTAACTTTGAAGGTAAGCTATTAAATCTAAATTTATTCTTGAAAATTGAAATAACTTTTGATCTTAATTAATTTTTTTTTTTATTTAAAGTTCCTACAATAGATGGAACATCGGCATCCCCTCAGCAAAAATGCTTTAAAATGGAAGTAGCAGACTTTGTTTTAGGATGCCCAAATGGTTGGGCATTTAATGGGATTAAATGTACAGGAGTTTTAACAGCAGATGCACAACAAGCATGTGATGAAGGCTCGGATATTTTAATGGATGAAAATGTTGGTATTCAATGTATTCAAAATCTTGTTGCTCCGAAACTTATTTCTTGTCCTGAAAATTACTTATTACAAGAAAATGAGTGTGTTTTTCCAATGCATTCAAAGCCTGATTTAATTTGTCCAGAATCCTTTGTGCCACTTAGTAATGGAAATTGCCAAAAAGATATAAGAGTTCCAGCAGCATTAGAATGTCCTCCCGAGTATATTTTAAACAACGGAGAATGTGAGAAAAGAGTGGAAGTCCCAGTATCTCAATTTAACAAAATCTGTCCATTAGGATTTACCTTGGATACCAATGGTAACTGTACAAAGCAAGTTAACGTGAATGCATTATTTGGTTGTAGAGAAGGATACGAAAAATCTACAATGGGAAACGGAGAAAATGGTTGTGTCAGATCAGTAATAATAGATGCAAGATATAGGTGTTCACAAGAGTAAGTTTAAATTGGTTTTTTCTTTGAATTTAATTTCAAATTTGATCTTTTTTTTAAAAAACTTTCATGGTAGATATGAGCTTGTAAATAATCAATGTATAAAGAAACTTACAAAACCCCCGATGGTTTCCTGTCAAGAAGGTAAGTTGATTGATAAATATCCAAATAACCAAGATTAAAATAGAATCTACTTAATACTTTCTAACTTAATTATTGATCAAAATTTAACTAAAATAGGTTATTCTCTGGAAAATAGTATAGAATGTGTCAAAGAAAAGAAGATACCAGCCAAATTTGAATGTCCCAAGAAAAAAGATTATATGTATAACCCACAAACAAAGTTATGTCATTCTATGAGTCATCATCATTCCCGTAAGTTAACTTAGTAACCAAAAAGATTGAAAAAATTAAAAACTAACCTAATTTGCAAATTGCAGAGAAAACACATCAACCTTTAGTAATATGTCCAGTGGGATCTATTGTACAAGATAATAATCACTGTGTATCTGTAGAGAAGTCGTTTCCAAAAGTTGAATGTTTGGAATCAGGTTAGTTACTCAATTTGTGAATTTTTTGAATTATATTGTAACTATTTTTGATAATTTAAAGGTTGGATTTTTGATGAAAACATGAAGTTATGTGTATATAATGAATATACAAGTGTTAATTTTGAATGTCCCATGAATTCTCAAAATATAGGTAATGGAAAGTAAGTTAATAGAAAGGCAAGGGAATTAATGGTAAAAATGATTTATCTTACTTTAAAAATATTAGATGTAAAGTAATGGAGACTGAAAGTACTGATATTGAATGCCCACCTGAATTTATTTATGAAGGAAATGGGTTATGTGTTAGTAGAATACAAGCAGATCCTCAGATTAAATGCCCGAACGGTAAGTCCTGGACAAATAACTTATGATTATTTTTTGAATTTAAAGAAAATATTTACATTTTAAAACTTTTTTTTTATAGGTTCATCTGCAACTCCTCAGGGAACATGTTTAAAAATTGAATTAATATTACCGAAACCATTATGCCCAGAAGGATTAAGACCATCAATAACAGTAATGGATGGACAAATTCCACTATGCATAGGAAGAGAAACTGTACCAAAACAAGAAACTTGTCCTTCAAATTATGAACTTGTAACGGCTTCTGATACTGGATTAAGGAGATGTAGAACATATACAAAGAGCGAACCAATAATAGCTTGTGCAAATGGATTTGTAGAGGATGCTCAAGGGTGCGTGCAGACTATTAAATCTTCCCCGAGATTGCTTTGTCCGGAAGACTACATACTTCAGTATTCCAGATGTATTAAACAAATTGAGGATATGCCAAACAAAATGTGCCCAGCAGGATTTGAATTGATTGATGATGACCAATGTAGTCAGACAGTTTACTCCAAACCAATTCCAAATTGTCCTGAGGATTATATGTTTGACAATATTGTTAAGAGATGTTATAAAGTAGATGTTCAGTATGACTTTGCATCTGTAGATACTAATGTTTACAAGCAGAATATTACAAACATTGTACAAACAGGAGAAAATAGTAATAAAGAGAAGAATGATGATGATGAGACAATTGAAGAAACTTTTCAAGTTAATAATGTTCCATTCCAAAACCAGATTCCAAATTACCCAGGCATAAGGTATCCTCCGTATCAGAGGTTACTTCCTCCTCAAACTCAATCTCAGTCCATAAGGCCTCCTCCAGTTCAAACGATTTATCCTCCTCAAGCATATTTACAAAATGGGGCCTATTCAAATTATGGGGGAATTATGCCTCAAACTACACAACTTAACACTGGTGCTGCAGGATATGGCTATCCCTTCCCGGGTTTCCAACAGTATGCACCTGCCCCAAGGTTCACAAATAGTCCATCTTACCCTGTTTATATGAGGAGTCTTTCAGAGGAAAAAAATGAATTATAAAATTTTAAATATGTTAATTTTAGAAGCCTTTTTCTAATATTAAAATAGGTTTATTGAATATAAATAAGTTGATTATCTTTATTTTCTTTACTTTCTTTACCACCACAACATTTTTATATAATATATATTTTATTTGATTCAACAATAATTAGGAAAAAAAGATCCCAAATTATTTTTTTTTTGATTAGAAATTTTATATAATTTAATAGAAAAATAGAATTCCAATTTCGAATTTGCTAGATTCTATGATTAGATTTTCAATTTTAGTTTACAATATGATGAAAAAATAAGAATTATATAGACAAAAATGTTAAAAATATGAATTGATAAGAAAAATAGAAAAGAAATATAAATTCAAGTAGGTATTTTTGTAGGAAGCTGTGGTTTTCATAACCTCGATACTCAAAAATCTGTTCAGCAATTTTTAATTTGCATGCATATATGTATATTTACAAAAATGCATAAATAATCTGTCCACATGCATTATTATTATGAAAAAGAATGTGCACACAAAGAAGTTTTGGTATATTTGGCAATAGAATATGAGTTATTTGGAGTAAAAGAAAAAAAAGCAAAAAATAAGTTAGATCTTTGAGAAAATGTTGTTAGAATAAATAAGAACGATTTGAAATTGTATTACTATGAAGAAAAAAAACATATAATATTTGTGATGAGATTATGTTGTTGTTTATGTATTGGATCAAGTTCTCAATAAGAAAGAAACAAATTAGTATTTTTTTGTGTGAAAATACCGAAAAAACAATCAAGAAAACAAAAAAAAAGCGGTAAACGCGCATTAAGATGGTTTATATCTGAATTGTCAAAAATAAATACTAATTTAAATAATTTGTAACGAATAAATTGGCGGTAAATAATGTAGACAGATACCAAGAAAAAAAAACATAAAAATACCTGGAAAAAAAGGTGAAAAAAGGCCCACAGAAAGGAATAGGAATTGATCAATATTAGTAAAGTTTCCGAGTTTTTTGGTCGTTTTCAGGGTATTACTGCCAAAAAGGATACAATTGACCTGAAATCAGCAAGATATCAGGGAAAAAACGACTGTGTGGGTTATAGTATAAGCTTAGGAAAAGATCGATGACAAGAATAAACTAAAGTAGTCTGGTGCAAGATTTAAACTTGAATCCAATGCTGAATCGATTGTATATGGCCGAGAAGGCCTTATCTATACTTCGCAGTGGCAATACCATACCATATCCTGAACCACAAGGTAGTGTAAAGAGTCAGTGGGATTTTTTGTTACAAGAGATGGTTTGGATGTCAAAAGATTACTATGAGGAGCGAAGATGGAAAATTAATGCAGCCAGACGTTTATCACAAATGGTTCAGAATTATTGGAGGAAAAAGATGCTCAATTTGGAACGCCATGTATCATCTAAGTGCAGCGCATTAATTCAGTCATTTTGGCTTGGGATTGCCGATAATGTGGATCCTGAATTAGTACCAAGCGATTTAAAGCCATATACGATGATTATTCAGTCAGAATCTGTTGGTGAGGATGGTAAGGTGAATGCCTCTAGGAGGCGTTTATATAATTACTGTTTAAGACAATTTGAGCAGAGCATGTATGAGTGTAGAAAGCTCAACGAATTGATCAAGAATACTAATGAGAGGAATAAGGAGAAGAGTATTGAGAATAATTCAGAAAATGATGTTCCAACTTCTCCAATGAGCATTGATATTGACCACGATAATGAAGGTTGTCAGTGGGTTGTGGATGAGGAATTATTACTGCAGTTGGATCCACTGGTATTTGTTGAATCTGTAATTCCGCAGAGTGCATCATCTACAGAGATAATTGAATCTGATAACTTATCTATTAAAGGTTCTGGAAACAGTCAAACTTTAGGATCTTCTGCTGGAGGTGGTGCAAATACAAATACAAATACAAATGCAAATACAAGCAATTCAGGAAACCCCGGTGGAGTTTCCTCCAAATCCTCAAACAATTTGGCAATAGCAAAGTATTCGGATATCTCTGATCTATTTAACGATTTTTCAAAAAAGCAGGAAATGGTAGTAGATTTTAACGATTATCGTAAGTACCTTGAAAATTGGGCGGACACTGTTCAAGTATTACTTCAGGGACCTGGAATAATTAATACAAGAGCAGAATTTCGTCCACCTAATCCTCACTTAGATTCAAAGAATTACTTGGTTGCTCCCAGATCCAACTTTATGGAAATGGAGGATATATCACTAATTCTTTCACTATTTGTACTTGCAGTCGATCACTTGCCAGCTTTCTTGAATCGTTATGTAGCATCATCTCCCTCAAATGTCGTATATAGATCTTCAGGAGGAATGATATCGGGTTCATCGTCACAAGAATCAATGGTGAATGACTTTAGTGTGGAAAGTAAGAGAAAGAGTAGGAGAAGAACAACTTCCAATGCGAAGAAGATTTCTGGTGTGATTCCTCCACATATTCAATCTTCGGTTTCAATACCAAATTCTGTTTCTGGTGGAATTGGCCTCCCACAATCGTCTGCCGTATCTTCCGGTGCAGGAGCTTTGGGAGGAGTGACAGGTGGAGCTGGAGTAGTAGTTTCGGGTTCTGGGGGGATTTCAGGGCCTAGCACTGTTCCAATGGTTGCTGATCAAACAACAAGCTTTGATATACTTGCGTATGCTGATACCTGGGATACTTCTGAGGATATTATATTGGTATATTTTGTTTCTCAGTACTCTTCTACATCCAGCTGTGGAATTTTGAGTAAGAAGGTGGTTTCAACAACAAATTGGAGCTTAATTGCATTATCCCATAACTACTTTTTTGGTGCTTTGTATGGGAGAATGAAAACACCAAGGCAATGCCAGGAGAGATGGAATTTTTTGAATAGGGATGAAGCTGAGGGGTCATCTGCTGAGAGTGTTGAAAAGAACAATAACAAGGATAAAGCTGAAAAGGCTTTTGGGGAAGATGTTGGGAATAGCAATGGAGATCCAAATACCAATATAAATAACAATAATATTACCAGTACTGTAATTAAGGTTGAAAGTGGTGAGACTGAAAAAGATATTACAAAGAGTGATATAGATAAATTAATGAAAAAGGAGAAACGGATTAATATGATGCCTAATTTGCATAAACGATACTTCATAAGTGATTCTCTTTTGAGACATTTGAAAGATTTCAGCGAATCCTTGGGAAATCCTAATAGTTTCGAAAACAAAATGGAGGATGTGAATCCCAAAGTTATTTCAGTAGAAGCTTGTGGGGAATTGAACGATGTAATAAAGTCATTTCCATTGGAGGATTCAAATGTTTTGGAAAATAGAGGAAACGGTATAAGTGAATTCAGCAATGATGACAATATGTTTTACACTATAAAGAAGATAATTCCTAGAATGACTATTTCGGATTTGTTAAAAAAGACCAAGGAAGAAAGAAACAAGACAGACAATCATTATTCAGAGACTAATTTGGGCTCCAACGATGATATTATAAATAATAGTGACTCTAATGGAATTGTTTCTCAAACAAATTTAGGTTCTGTGGGGAGCCAAAGCGAAACAAAGAGTAATAATGGAGTTTCCAATAATGATGAGGACGTTGGGGAAGCTATAGGGAAGAACCGACGAATTAAGAATATAAAGACAGTGGACTCTTACCAGAGTGAACAATTGGAGCTTTTATCCTCAATTGTGAGCAAATTTGGTGCTAACATGAGAAAGAGGTCATTACAGAATCAGCAATTCCAGGATTCTTTCCAGATTACTTCGTATCTGCAGACAATTCAACAAAATTATGGGTCAAACATCCTTCAAGATGGTGTATTACCACCTCACCAAAGCCATGCAAATTTAGTAGCACATGTTAATCAGATGCTAAATCAACATATAGAATCCACAATGACAAATAATAACAATACTGGCGGAAATATTGGTGTTGGTGGTAGTAGTAGTAACAATGCCCCTAATACTACTAATAGTGGCTTAAATACTAATCCAAGTAATGTTGGCACTTCTAATACTAATACTGGTGGAAATAATATGAACGTCAATATTGGTAACAACGGAAACAATATTGGTGGTGTTGGAAGTAATTCAAATACAGTAAATAATTCAGGCTCAGTAGGTCCTGTTACTGGCAACATGATGCCAAATCATACACAAGGGAATCTAAACAATCAGATAGGGGGAGGGGTTCATTCAGGATCTTCGAACTTTACTCCTCTTCCAAGTGGAATACCGGCCCATTTATTGGCTCCTGGAAATCTTCCTCCAGCGACGAGTGTTGAAGAATACCTGTCTCGTTTACCTGGTATTGATATACAATTAAAGCTGATTGATTATTCTTTAGATAGGTATCGGCAAAGTACAATGGGAGGGAGATACGGAGGGACTGGTATTTTAATATCAACCTCCTCGACCTGCAGAAAGCCTCAGTTACCCGAGTTTTTGCTGCAACGCTCGGTAATAAATAGCGGAGCTAATTCAGGGATGGCCGGAGGTGCGCAACAGGGAGCGAACGTTCATGGTTCTGGTCAGCATGCTGGAATGATGCCTCCTCAACAGGGAATGGTTCATCAAGGCGGAGGTGGAGGCGGAGGAGGTGAACAACAAGTTACCTTGCAGCAGTCCTCTTACACTCCCTCAGTGGTTTCTGGGCAACCTGGCCAGATTGTTCTTCCAAACAACCAAATGATCAAGGTTAAGAAGAGGGAGATTAACCAAAAGCAGGCTGTTACACAGGCTAATAACATCAAAAGAAGGAAAACCAGTATGATTATTCCCAACTCCCAACCTAATGGTATGATGGGGTCAAATGGTGCTCAAGGTGAGATAATAACATCTCATGGAAGGACCGGAATTATGCAGGGGATAACTCCACATATGGGAGGAGCAGGACAAGGGATTCCACAATCCCAAACACATTCACATCCTCATCCACTTTCACAACAACAGTCTGCTTCTTCGTCTCAGTTACACCCTCCGCCTCAGCAATATCAGTCTCAGCAATACCATCCTCAGCAACAACATCAACAACAGCAACAACAAAACCCACAACAACATCCGCAGCAACACCATCACCAACAGCAAATTCAGCAGAACCAGCATTCGATTCCCCATGTTCAGCATTCTCAGCATCAACAGTACCAACAACACCAACAACACCA